ATTATGTGTCTTGGTGTTGTCCTCCTTGGATCCTTTCTGTTGGGGGTTCTGTATAATTCCATGGTCTGTTCGATTATTTCCTCCCCCAGTTTGGGGAAGTTTTCAGCAATTATTTCTTCAAAGACACTTTCTATCCCTTTTCCTCTTTCTTCCTCTTCTGGTATCCCTATAATACGAATGTTTTTCCTTTTGTATTGGTCACATATTTCTCTTAGTGTTGTTTCATTCCTGGAGATCCTTTTATCTCTCTCTATGTCAGCTTCTATACGTTCCTGTTCTCTGGCTTCTATTCCTTCAATGGCCTCTTGCATCTTATCCATTCTGCTTATAAATCCTTCCAGGGATTGTTTCACTTCTGTGATCTCTTTCCTGACATCTGTGATCTCCTTCCGGACTTCATCCCACTGCTCTTGCATTTTTCTCTGCATCTCATCCCACTGCTCTTGCATTTTTCTCTGCATCTCATCCCATTGCTCTTGCATTTTTTTCTGCATCTCTGTCAGCATGTTCATGATTTTTATTTTGAATTCTTTTTCAGGAGGACTAGTTAGGTCTGTCTCCTTCTCAGGTGTTGTCTCTGTGATCTTTGTCTGCCTGTAGTTTTGCCTTTTCATGGTGATAGAGATAGTTTGCAGAGCTGGTACAAGTGACCGCTGGAAGAGCTTCCCTTCTTGTTGGTTTGTAGCCTTTTCCTGGGAGAATAGCGACCTCTAGTGGCTTGTGCTGGGCAGCTGTGCGCAGACAGGGCTTCTGCTTCCTGCCCAGTTGCTTTGGGGTTTATCTCCGCTGTTGCTGTGGGCTTGGCCTGGCTGGGGCTGTTCCTCCAAAATGGTGGAGCCCCGTTGGAGGGGGAGCAGCCAGGAGACTATTTATCTCCGTAAGGGGCCTCTGTGCTCCCTGCTGCCCAGGGGGTTAGAGTGCCCAGAGATCCCCAGATTCCCTGCTTCTGGTCTAAGTGACCTGTCCTGCCCCTTTAAGATTTCCAAAAAGCACTCTCCAAACCAAAACAACAACAGCAACAATGAGAGAGGGAACAGAAAGGAAAAAAAAAAGAAAAAACACGCGATTTTTTTTTTTTTTTCCCCAGGTGCCGGTCCCAGGCACCCGCGCACTGGTCCTGCTGCCCTGTCTCCCTAGCACCAGGGTCCCTGTCCTTTCAAGGCTTCCAAAAAGCACCCACCCACCGGTCCCGCAGGGAAGGAACGCTCAATATTCTTTGTCCTCAGGCACTGGTCCCACGCACCCGCTCACCAGTCCCGCCGCCCTGCCTCCCTAGCACCGGGGTCCCTGTCCCTTCAAGGCTTCCAAAAAGCACTCGGCAAAAAGAGAGAAAAAAAAGGGGAAAAACGCGCGATTTCTTCCGTCCTCAGGTGCTGGTCTCAGGCACCCACCCACCGGTCCCACAGGGAAAAATGCGGGATATTCTTTGTCCTCAGGTGCCGGTCCCAGGCACCCGCTCACCAGTCCCGCCGCCCTGCCTCCCTAGCACCGGGGTCCCTGTCCCTTTTAGGCTTCCAAAAAGCACTCGCAGAAAAGAGAAAAAAAAAAGGGGAAAAACGCGCGATTTCCTCTGTCCTCAAGTGCCGGTCTCAGGCACCCGCCCACCGGTCCCGCAGGGAAAAACGGGGGATATTCTTTGTCCTCAGGCGCCGGTCCCAGCCACCCGCTCACCAGTCCCGCCACCGTGCCTCCCTAGCACTGGGGTCCCCGTCCCTTCAAGGCTTCCAAAAAGCGCTCGCCAAAAAGAGAAAAAAAAAAAAAGGGGAAAAACGCGCGACCTCCTCCGTCCTCAGGCACCGGTCTCAGGCACCCGCCCCCAGGTCTCGCAGGGAGAAACGCGGGATATTCTTTGTCCTCCGGCGCCGTTCCCAGGCACCTCCTCACCGGTCCCGCCACCCTGCCTCCCCAGCAACGGGGGCCCGTCCCTCTAAGGCTTCCAAAAAGCGCTCGCCAAAAAAAAAAAACCGCTCCGGTTTCTCTCCACCCGCCGGGAGCCGGGGGGAGGGGCGCTCGGGTCCCGCTGGGCTGGGGCTTGTATCTTACCCCCTTCACAAGGCGCTGGGTTCTTGCAGGTGTGGATGTGGTCTGGATGTTGTCCTGTGTCCTGTGGTCTCTATTTTAGGAAGATTTTTCTTTGTTATATTTTCATAGCTCTATGTGTTTTTGGGAGGAGATTTCCACTGCTCTACTCACGCCGCCATCTTGGCTCCGCCCTAAAAAAACTTTTTAAATTAAATTTTAAAATACACTCAAAGGCATTGTTTTGTTTGATCCTTTTAACAGACTTGCAAAGTAGTTATTAAGTCTCTCCATCCAGAAACATGGGATGTCTTTCCATTTATTTATATCACCTCTAATTTCTTCCAGCAACAGTTTGTGGGTTCCAGAGTATTGGTTTTGAATTTATTGTGTCAAATTTGTTGCTAAAGTATATTCTTTCTGGTGCTATTGTAAATAGAGTTTTTTTAACTCCATTTACAGTTACTCTTTGCAAGTGTATAGAAATACAGTTGGTGTTTTTTTTATGTTTATCATATATCCTGCTGCCTAGCTGAACATATTTATTAATTTTCATAGGTTTTTTTGTGGGCTTGTTAGGTTTTTCTGTATACAAGATCATATTATATGTGAATAGTTTTACTACTTTCTTTCTAATCTGGATACCTTTTAATTCATTTTCTTGGCTTAGTTGCCCTGATCAGAACTCTCACTACGATGTTAAAAAAAAGTAGTATTTGTAGGCAACCTTGTCTCATTGCTTATCTCAGATATCCTTGTCTTATTCTCGATCTTAGGGGGAAAGCATTTAGCCTCCTATTGTTAAGTATGATATTAGTGGTGCATCTTCTATAGATCCCCTATATCAGGTAGGGGTGATGGATTTTTCAAATGTTTTTTTTTCGCATCTGTTGAGATGATCATGTGGTTTTTGTCCTTTACGGGTAGGTTTTACGTTAATTAATGTTCATATGTTAAAACAAACTTGCATACTGAGATAACTATGACTTGGTCATGGAATCTAACACTTATATGTTGCTGGATTCAGTTTGCTAATACTTTGTTGAGAATTTTGCATCAATATTCTTAAGGCATGTTGGTCTCTAGTTTACTTGTGATGTCTTGGTTTTGGTATCAGGATAATACTGACCTTTCAGTATGAGCTGAGACATGTTCACCCTTCTTTTATTTTTTTGGAAGAGTTTGTGAAGGATTAGCATAAACTTTTCCTTAATGTTTGGTAGAATTCACCAGTGAAGCCATCTGGACCTCGGATTATTTTCTGGATGCATTTTTTTATTACTAATTCAGTATTTGTTAGAGGTCTGATCAGTTAGCATATTTTTTTGAGTCAGTTTCAGTAATTTGTTTCTAGGAATTTGTCCATTTCATATAAGTTATCTAATTTATTGGTTTATAATTGCTTATAGTATTTCCTTATAATCTGTCTTTCTGGAAGGCTGGCAGTAATGTTCTCTCCTTCATTCCTGATTTTATAGTTTGAACACTCTCTCCTCTTTATCTAGGTAAAGGTGTGCCAGTTTTGTTGATCTTTACCAGAAAACAACTTTTGTTTTGATTTTTCTCAATTGTTTTTCCATTCTCTATTCCTTTTACCTCTGCCCCAATCTTTATTAATTTCCTTTCATTTGTTTGGTTCAGTTTTTATTTTCTTTTTTTCACAGTGTCTTAAGATGGAAGGTTAAGTTACTGATTTTAATTTTCCTTCTTTTTAAATATGGGCATTTAGACTATAAATTTCCCTCTATGCACTGCATCCCATAAATTTTGGTTTGTTGTGTCTTCATTTTCACTCATCTCAGAGTGTTTTCTAATTTCCCTTGTGATTTCTTCATTGACCAACTCTGGCTACTTAGGAATAATTAATTTCTACATATTTGTGAGTTCCTCCAATTTCTTTTGTCACTGATATCTAATTTTATTCCATTTTGAGACCATACATTGTATGATTTCAATTCTTTTAACTTTTTTGAGGCTCGTTCTATGTCTTAGTATATGTTCCATCCTGAGAATGTTCTATGTATATTTAAGAAGAATGCTGTTGTTGGGTGGGATATGCTATAGATATGTTTCAGGTCTGGTTCATTTATAGAGTTGTTCAAGTATTTTATTTCCTTATTGATCTTCTGTCTAGTTGTCTATCCTTTACCAAAAGTGGGATATTAAAGTCTCCCAAGTATTGTTAAATTGTCTGTTTTTCCTTTCATTTTTGTCAGTTTAGTATTATGTACTTTGGGCTCTATTGTTTGGTGTATATGTGGTTTTAGATCTTCCTGATGCATTTGCTGTTTTATCAACTATAAAATGTCATGAAGGAAAAGTATTTTGCTTTCTTTAGGAGTATCTTGGCAGTATTCTTAGACTTTTAATATTTTAAATAGCTTTGAATGAAACACTTTCTGTGTTATATATGATAATTAGTAGATATGGAATTCAGTACAGTATTCTCCCCTTATCTGTGGGAGGATATGTTCCAGTGGATGTCTGGAACTGTGGATAGTATGGAACCCTATATATACTGTTTTTCCTATACATACAGACTTATGATAAAGTTTAATTTATAAATTGGGCACAGTAAGAAATGAAGAACAACCAATAATAGAACCATTATAGCAATATTCTGTAAAGAAAGGTTACATGATCACTGTCTCAAAATATCTTATTGTGCTGTTTTCACCCTTCTTGTGATAACATGAGATGATAAAGTATCTACATGAGGAGATGAAGTGAGGCGAATGCATAGGCACTGTGACATAGCCTTAGGCATATATCAGTCTTCTGATGCTAAGTCAGGAGGAGATTATCTACTTCTGGACCGTGGTTGACAGTGAGTAGCTAAAACTACAGATAAGGGGGACTACTGTATGTACTAATCACTTACTCAGAGCATTTTACAGTGTTGAAAGAAATGGGAAAACAAAACGTATGATGATTATGCTTCATTAACTCAGAAGTCACATTTTGTTTTCTTTTGACTATAGGAACAGTTTTGATCAAAAGTAACAGTGGTCAGTTGATGTTGGTATCTCCTCAGCAAGCTGTGACACGATCTGAGACCACAAGTAACATCACTTCGAAGCCAGCCATACCAACAGCTACTCAAACACTCAAAATCTGTACGCTGCCGGTAATAAACCTTAAAGTTTCTTTCATCCTTCTTAATTTTCCAGCTGTTATCTTCATATACATGTATATATGTTTGTCATTAAAAATAATTGAAGAAATGATTCTGTTCACCTTAATTCTGTTAGCTTCATTTTTGAATTAAGCTACATTCTTGGAATATGTTCATTTAATCCAGATGATTGGTTTTGTCATTTGATAATTACAAAAATAGAAAGCTCAGTCTTTATGCTCAAAGATTTTGTAGTCCTCAAGAGAATGTTCAAAGGGCTATTTGCAACTCTAAATGGAAAGAGAATAACCAGTCTGTTTCAATTTTAATTTATGGTAAGATATTAATGCTATGGTTTATAGTATTCATTTTTATCCATACCTTACAGAAATTACGGTTAAAAAAATTCAGAAGTCTGCTGTAGTATTTCATTAATTTGGCTGTGTTAGAAAATGATGTATTTTACATACATGATAATATTTCTAGGTAACTGAAAGTTATCTTATGTGCCAGAGTTAAAAAAATGTTTTTATGGGCATCTTTGGTTAACCAGAAAATGCTGAAGGTAGTATAGCACTTTCTTGATGAACCAGGCTCATTCATCTTAATGAAAGACTATATTGTATTTTGTGGTATAACCTCCTCTCCCAGTTATCCCAACCACCTCTGCCCCCTGGTTTTGTACCCTCCTAATTTGATTTTAGTTTTTTAACCAGTCGTTTTCTGTACTGTTGTATCTGTCAATGTAGCTGCTCTTTCCTCTTCTAGTTATTTTGCTTTAGCTAACTGCTATGGGTTGAAAAGACAGGTTAGTAGATTTTTGTTCATAATTGGATATTAAATAAGAATCTGTGTTTTCTGTATTAACCAAAGAGTAAAGTTCAAGATTTCAGTGCTGAAATACTATGATATTCATTTGTTTAATTAGTTGCCTCTTTATGAATATGAAACGAGTGTCATCTGGCCAATGGACCATTTAGGTTCATAGTAGATAATGTGGGTAAAAATCCCAAAGGACATAAAGCCAGTTATAACGAAGGACTTTACTTTCTTTGTAAACACTTTTTAAGATGTTCTAATGTTTTGCTGTAGTACTAATATTAAATTACTAATGCTGATGACTCTGTATTATCTCCCCCAACCGCAGAATTCTAGTTCACAGTTAATCAACAAAGTGACAGCGGGACCTGTTAAAAAACTGACCCAAGTAGGAACCACCGTGGTGTCCACTGTGCCAAAGCTTTCCTCAGCACAAGTAAGTGGCGGCTGACTTGTGGGCCTGGGTGCACTGCTGGTTCTTTCATCTTTCCTCATTATGTAGCTATTTCCTGCCAGATGTTGAGTTGCTGACCTTCTGACACTGAAGTTGCAATTCAGTGATGTATGATGACACTTAGCAATCTACGGAGGTGTGGGAAACACAGGTAAACATGGTGTAGAGTCTCGGAGTATTGGTTTTACTTGGATGTATTAAATTAATACAAATGCATTTAATAGCCATATATCACAGTGCCTAGAAGCAGGTGTTGGGATAGAATTTTGCCATATGGAATGTTTATTAGGGATCGATACCAATGGAAGCAGGGTGAGTGAGTTCAGACTAGAGGTAGGTCCAGTAAATCCTCAGCCAGCCTTATAGAGAACTTTGGAGCAAATGTGGCCTGTCAGAGTTGTTCCACTGTGTGCCACATGATCTGCTGGGCCCTAATTCCCCCTCTGTGATCAGTCATTGGACATAGACTTTCTGGAGAGAGTTGTGCTCTTGGGCAAGGTAATTCTCTGTAGCTGAGGCAAACCCTGAAGGAACTGATAACTGAATGTCTAATAGCATTCCCAACAGCCAAGACAGTGGAAATCTCTCCTTGTGATGGTGTATCTCAGTCTATTCCTTACATTGCTGGGATCTACTTCCTCATACATGTTGGAGACCAGCTCTTCTGGGATTCCAGTGGATTTATTCCTTGGGGAAACAAAGAGGAGGTGGTTAGTAGGGTGTATTACAGTCCTTACAGCTGCAGCCGTAAGGCCTTCTCTATTCATTCATGATTCTTCTTACCCTTATCTACCAACTCAGCTGGTCTTTGTAGCTTGACTAGTAGTGTGACCAGACCATCATACCAGAGGGATCTGAGGTCCTAATCATTATGTTCTTTTGAGGAAAGAGTTGCTGCACTTGTCCATTTATCACAATTGGCAAGGAAATACCAAGGATACTTGGATTTACCACACATGCCTCTTGGCCTCCATTGTACCTATTCCAGATATCAGGTCAGTTGCGCCTGTCATGATAATGGCTCTTCTTTTTTCTGCTGGTCACTTGACACAAGAAATCTGAAGTCTGAAGTGCTCAAGAGGCAGCTACAGAGTCTAGATTATAGGAACTTTGCTATGTCCTTTGGTCAAAGTGTGCTCCCTGTGAGCAGAAATGGGGAGCAGCGTCCCCCAGCAGTTGTTTGGGCTGATGATAAATAGATCCGCTTATCTTTTTACTCATATATATCTTAGTTCATCATGTATTTGTCCTGTTGGGGACATAGTATCATGTAGAACTTTTTGATTCAGTGAGTACATTGAGTCTGGAGGGTGGAGGATGAAATCCCATCTTCAGAGAGTGTTGGTCCTGAGTCTGCACGTCACTGGCACTCCTCGGCCCGCAGCTTCTGGGGCATGCCGCTTGTGATGCAGTCTGTGAGTTCTGTGGTCTTGGGATCACTGTTGCACTTCCTATGCTGTGTAAAGAATGTATCTTGGACCATGTTATGTCATAGCCCATCCTGTAGATTAAACCCTCTGATCAAATCCTCAGTGGTAGGCTTAAGATAGGGTCATCAAACAATAAGGTTGATAATATATGTGTCCACTTGGTGGGTTAAAGTATTTCAGTTTTAGGCAGTTCTTGGAAATAAGGGTTCTAGAACTTAGCAATGAGCGAAGATAGAACTCTTTGCACTTGGCCATTTGACTATAAAGACAAATGTGTATATTAAGAAATTTTGAAAGTATTTACTTATTAATAGATACCTTATTTAAAAAGTCTTGGAATGTGGTAATGGTCTGGTAAACATAACAATGGAACTAGTTTGCAATTTCTGTTTTATGTTGTATTTGATGATGAAGACATAACTTGGCCCATTGTTTGGTATCTGTTGTGCAAAAGATTGGATTTAGAATTAGTATTTCTAATTAAATATGAATAAACCCAAAGTGATTGTTCTTTCAGACAGGTATAGAAAACAACTCTCCTTGAAATGCAGTTTGGTTTGCTAAATGTGAATACTTCTATTTTGCTGGCTCTATCTGTATGATTTTCATGAATTTATGTCACATATTCCCCAGCTCTTTCCTCTCCTGTCCCCCAGGCTGGCCTACCCAATCCTAGTGCAGTCTTGCAGAACATGAGAATACCATTGGCTGGTCTAGAATCTGAGAGTCATGACTGAGCTTAAGACAGTCCATCCATTATTGCGGTGGGATTACTTAGATAAAGACCAGATTTGTGTACTTCTCCATGCCTGTGAAGAAGCGGAATTGGCATGGAAGGTGCAGGTATCTGCTAAGGTAAAGGTAGTAGCTATATTAGAAAGAATTATGAAGGACGGATTTTGTACTGAAGACAATAAAATATTGAAAAGGAAAATAGAAATGCCACAAGTGTTTCTTCTGCTCTGAGCCTACCTGTCATTGGGCCTTATTTTGCTCCAAGAGAGGGACAATACTGCCCCTGGGAGCCCCTCCCATTAGTCCTAAAAGGTAATCATAATTAATAGGCAGAATTCCAGATAACACTGTCTTAAATATAGTATGAAAATTTAATGCAAGGGTATAAAGTAGACTCACTGAAGAAAGAGTTTATTTACTGTACATAAACCTAAAGAGGTTTATTAGAAAATCTCCAAAAGGATTCAGAGGAAACTGCACAGTTGTTGTCCTTGGGCAGCAGTGCTAAGGAAAGGAATGGGGAAGAAACTCCATTTTCATTGTTACTTTTGAGATCCATTTATAGTTCTGAAAATTGTACTAACTTACGTACAATTTTTGATTTCACCATTTTTGCTTAACATTTCATCATTAGTTCTAGTCTTCACCATTAATCAGTGTTTTTCATTTCTTCCCATTTTTACCCTCAAAATATTCTTGTTCAATATATGCTTCAGTCTTTCTAAAGTGGGAAATTCTGGTTTAAGTTTGAATTCACTTATTTTGATTGTTAGATAAGGAAATTATCTTGAAGGTGATAGCAATCTGACCTTTCTGTGTTCTCTGCCTGCGGAACACAAGTGTTTGAATTAAAATGGTGCAATGTTCAGTTTTCTGTATGAATTGTAAATACTGTTCTCTCCCCCACTTTTCAACTCTACTCATGTTCTGTAACTTGTAGTATTTGTCTCTAAAATGAGATTGTTGCTCTATTTCAATTTTGTTGTTTAAGTTATTACTTGACTTGTGATTTCTTGTATTAAACTGTTTATCCTGCAGGTGGAGCTGTGATCACATTTCATTTCAAAAGCGTGGAAGAAAACAACCAAAATTCTTTCGGTGTGAAAATAACACATTTTGTAGTATTTGTTATGCTTACTCAAATAGTCTAATTAAACTTAGTTTAATAGCTAAAAGCAGCTTTTCTGACTATAAGATGATTAGTAGATATTTCTGAGTTATATTTGAGAAACACAAAATTAGAGAACAAGAAATTCTATATTTTCATATACAGACATACTATTTCAAACACTTTTTGGAGTTGTATTAATAATATTTTGTGAGGAACTGTGTGCTCAACACTGCTTTTCACAAACAGTGGTGCTTTTTTTTTTTTTTACAGATAGTAGTGAGAAGGTTAGGTGTCTGAAATAAATAGTAGGTGTCAGTGAAAAAAGTAGGTAGGTAGGGTGAGAATGAAATACAGATCTACTGATTAACAGAGTATATATAACGTAAAAGCAAAGATGTCAAGATCTACTTGTACTCTGAAAAGCATGAAGTGAGGCCCCACTAGGATCCATATCATAGTGATACGTCTCTCAATGTGTACTATTTTTAATTTCAGTCTGTGGCAGTGCCCACCAATGTTGTCACAGTTACTCCGGTAAAGCCGTTGACTACTGTAACTACCCTAAAGCCTTCGAGTCTGGGAGCATCACCTGCCCCCTCAAATGAGCCTGATCTCAAGGCAGAGGGCTTGGCAGCCGCTGAGACTGACCTTTCTCCGGTAAGTTCTCACTTAGACTTTACATGAATACAGCTCTTTACAAATGTTCTTGAATTTTACTTCCTAGCTAACTTTTGTGTGTGTTTGTATTTCTATATTTAGACAATGCTAGAAAATGTGAAGAAATGTAAGAACTTCCTTGCAATGTTAATAAAACTAGCATGTAGTGGATCCCAGTCCCCAGAAATGGGACAGAATGTGAAGAAGCTGGTGGAACAGCTTTTGGTAAGTTAGTACTATAAAATCTTGAAAGCTCTGTAAGAATACACAGAACATGTTTTAAATGGGAAATATTTTTAAATGAGGTTGATTTTAAATGAATTTTTTGATAAAGTTTGCTTTTGCTTTTAGTAAGCTTTGTAATGATTATAAATTTTAGAATAAATAAATTGAATGTATATTACCTCTGGATGCCAGTCCTGTTTCTCTTAGTCTAAAAAGGGCCTTGATGAGGAAGTTGACTATATGGTCAAATAAAAATTTGTTATTAGAATTGTAAATACCAGAAAGCTAGGCTATCAACAGATAATGAAATTCAGTTTTGTATGTCCAGGCAACAAACTTAGGGGCTTGTAGAAGTAAGTTAACCTTCTTAGATCTCATTTTCCTCCTCCTCTATAAGAGAGGAGACTAAAAGCTATGATCTTTGAGGTTATTATAGGCGCCAAGATGCTGTGTCCTGTAGCCATCAAATTATACATCCTTGATTTCTTAGATCCTCTTTCAGGTAAAATGTTCAGATACATTAAAGTGGGTGAAGGTGGAAGTTAGCAAATATTGGTTGCATGTATATGCCTAAGACATACGCTGAGGCAGCAACAGAAAAATGTAATTTTTGGATTCTTTAAACTACTAAAATCTACAGATTCCTCAGACCACATAATGAGAAGTTTTGTATATTTCTTCATACAAGAATGACCACTTTTTCCTGACAGAAAATGTATATATTTCAAATAGTATACTGGAAAACAAGCACAGTTTATAAATATTAAAATACCTTCTTTACTACTTTTTTTTATTCTACCTATAATTCATTACAAGTAGAGCACATTTGAAATGGTTTTCCATTTGTGAAAACTATTTTAGATATTTAAAATTATAAGTCATATAAATAAGTTTTTAACATCTTTGAAAGTAAACATTGATCTTTTGATCTATTTTCAAGGCATGATGGTTTTGAAAGGTAGTCTAGTAGCTTGTTTCTCTGAGATGGAATGAATACTCTATTCTAAACGGAGAAGCATGATGGAAAGGAAGATATTAAAACATTAAAAATTTTAAGTACAAAGAATTTATCTTCATTTTGCGGACAGCTAGGAGCAGTCAGGAATTAATCAAATATCCCTTCTGGCTTCAGGTCTACTTAGCTTAAACAGCAAATAGCAATGATCAAACATTTTAGTCTTACGATACCTTTATATTAAAAGTTGAGGATTCTCAAAGCCATTTTATTTTTGTGGTGTTTGGATTAAAAGTGAGAAAGTAAAAAAGAATTTTTTTTACTTACTAATTTATTTTAAAATAACAATTAACCCATCACATGTTAACATAAAAAACATTTAAATGAAAACTATAGTTTTCAAATCAAAAACACCAAGTGAAAAGAGTGGCATTGCTTTACATTTTTACAAATCTCTTTATATCTGTCCCAGTAGAGAAGAGCCAGATTTTCTTACCTGCTTCTGCATTTCATCTGTTTTGTGGTATAAATTATTTTGATTGAACTATTTAGAGAATGTTTGGTCCCATGCAGAGGTGGCTGGAAAAGTTAAGCATCTGAAGAGCGTTTCTCCAGCTAGTTGTGGACACTCTTCATGGCCCATGTGTTTGTCTTGTGCTCTGCCTGGGCCTTGCCCCCGTGTGTGATTTTTGTAACAGCATGCACTTGGTCATTGGGAAAATAGTGGTTCACTGAGCTACACAGATCCTCCAAATGTTGTCAGATATGTTATTTAAGATAACAAAAAATCACACTTGTAATCTCAAGGCATTTAGACTATAAATTTCCCTCTATGCACTGCATCCCATAAATTTTGGTTTGTTGTGTCTTCATTTTCACTCATCTCAGAGTGTTTTCTAATTTCCCTTGTGATTTCTTCATTGACCAACTCTGGCTACTTAGGAATAATTAATTTCTACATATTTGTGAGTTCCTCCAATTTCTTTTGTCACTGATATCTAATTTTATTCCATTTTGAGACCATACATTGTATGATTTCAATTCTTTTAACTTTTTTGAGGCTCGTTCTATGTCTTAGTATATGTTCCATCCTGAGAATGTTCTATGTATATTTAAGAAGAATGCTGTTGTTGGGTGGGATATGCTATAGATATGTTTCAGGTCTGGTTCATTTATAGAGTTGTTCAAGTATTTTATTTCCTTATTGATCTTCTGTCTAGTTGTCTATCCTTTACCAAAAGTGGGATATTAAAGTCTCCCAAGTATTGTTAAATTGTCTGTTTTTCCTTTCATTTTTGTCAGTTTAGTATTATGTACTTTGGGCTCTATTGTTTGGTGTATATGTGGTTTTAGATCTTCCTGATGCATTTGCTGTTTTATCAACTATAAAATGTCATGAAGGAAAAGTATTTTGCTTTCTTTAGGAGTATCTTGGCAGTATTCTTAGACTTTTAATATTTTAAATAGCTTTGAATGAAACACTTTCTGTGTTATATATGATAATTAGTAGATATGGAATTCAGTACAGTATTCTCCCCTTATCTGTGGGAGGATATGTTCCAGTGGATGTCTGGAACTGTGGATAGTATGGAACCCTATATATACTGTTTTTCCTATACATACAGACTTATGATAAAGTTTAATTTATAAATTGGGCACAGTAAGAAATGAAGAACAACCAATAATAGAACCATTATAGCAATATTCTGTAAAGAAAGGTTACATGATCACTGTCTCAAAATATCTTATTGTGCTGTTTTCACCCTTCTTGTGATAACATGAGATGATAAAGTATCTACATGAGGAGATGAAGTGAGGCGAATGCATAGGCACTGTGACATAGCCTTAGGCATATATCAGTCTTCTGATGCTAAGTCAGGAGGAGATTATCTACTTCTGGACCGTGGTTGACAGTGAGTAGCTAAAACTACAGATAAGGGGGACTACTGTATGTACTAATCACTTACTCAGAGCATTTTACAGTGTTGAAAGAAATGGGAAAACAAAACGTATGATGATTATGCTTCATTAACTCAGAAGTCACATTTTGTTTTCTTTTGACTATAGGAACAGTTTTGATCAAAAGTAACAGTGGTCAGTTGATGTTGGTATCTCCTCAGCAAGCTGTGACACGATCTGAGACCACAAGTAACATCACTTCGAAGCCAGCCATACCAACAGCTACTCAAACACTCAAAATCTGTACGCTGCCGGTAATAAACCTTAAAGTTTCTTTCATCCTTCTTAATTTTCCAGCTGTTATCTTCATATACATGTATATATGTTTGTCATTAAAAATAATTGAAGAAATGATTCTGTTCACCTTAATTCTGTTAGCTTCATTTTTGAATTAAGCTACATTCTTGGAATATGTTCATTTAATCCAGATGATTGGTTTTGTCATTTGATAATTACAAAAATAGAAAGCTCAGTCTTTATGCTCAAAGATTTTGTAGTCCTCAAGAGAATGTTCAAAGGGCTATTTGCAACTCTAAATGGAAAGAGAATAACCAGTCTGTTTCAATTTTAATTTATGGTAAGATATTAATGCTATGGTTTATAGTATTCATTTTTATCCATACCTTACAGAAATTACGGTTAAAAAAATTCAGAAGTCTGCTGTAGTATTTCATTAATTTGGCTGTGTTAGAAAATGATGTATTTTACATACATGATAATATTTCTAGGTAACTGAAAGTTATCTTATGTGCCAGAGTTAAAAAAATGTTTTTATGGGCATCTTTGGTTAACCAGAAAATGCTGAAGGTAGTATAGCACTTTCTTGATGAACCAGGCTCATTCATCTTAATGAAAGACTATATTGTATTTTGTGGTATAACCTCCTCTCCCAGTTATCCCAACCACCTCTGCCCCCTGGTTTTGTACCCTCCTAATTTGATTTTAGTTTTTTAACCAGTCGTTTTCTGTACTGTTGTATCTGTCAATGTAGCTGCTCTTTCCTCTTCTAGTTATTTTGCTTTAGCTAACTGCTATGGGTTGAAAAGACAGGTTAGTAGATTTTTGTTCATAATTGGATATTAAATAAGAATCTGTGTTTTCTGTATTAACCAAAGAGTAAAGTTCAAGATTTCAGTGCTGAAATACTATGATATTCATTTGTTTAATTAGTTGCCTCTTTATGAATATGAAACGAGTGTCATCTGGCCAATGGACCATTTAGGTTCATAGTAGATAATGTGGGTAAAAATCCCAAAGGACATAAAGCCAGTTATAACGAAGGACTTTACTTTCTTTGTAAACACTTTTTAAGATGTTCTAATGTTTTGCTGTAGTACTAATATTAAATTACTAATGCTGATGACTCTGTATTATCTCCCCCAACCGCAGAATTCTAGTTCACAGTTAATCAACAAAGTGACAGCGGGACCTGTTAAAAAACTGACCCAAGTAGGAACCACCGTGGTGTCCACTGTGCCAAAGCTTTCCTCAGCACAAGTAAGTGGCGGCTGACTTGTGGGCCTGGGTGCACTGCTGGTTCTTTCATCTTTCCTCATTATGTAGCTATTTCCTGCCAGATGTTGAGTTGCTGACCTTCTGACACTGAAGTTGCAATTCAGTGATGTATGATGACACTTAGCAATCTACGGAGGTGTGGGAAACACAGGTAAACATGGTGTAGAGTCTCGGAGTATTGGTTTTACTTGGATGTATTAAATTAATACAAATGCATTTAATAGCCATATATCACAGTGCCTAGAAGCAGGTGTTGGGATAGAATTTTGCCATATGGAATGTTTATTAGGGATCGATACCAATGGAAGCAGGGTGAGTGAGTTCAGACTAGAGGTAGGTCCAGTAAATCCTCAGCCAGCCTTATAGAGAACTTTGGAGCAAATGTGGCCTGTCAGAGTTGTTCCACTGTGTGCCACATGATCTGCTGGGCCCTAATTCCCCCTCTGTGATCAGTCATTGGACATAGACTTTCTGGAGAGAGTTGTGCTCTTGGGCAAGGTAATTCTCTGTAGCTGAGGCAAACCCTGAAGGAACTGATAACTGAATGTCTAATAGCATTCCCAACAGCCAA